GACGCCATATCTAGATCAACTATTTATTATTCACAACTTAGCTAATTATCATACATGATTAGTTGCTATGGATACTACACCAGCCTAGCTCATCATTCGAACTAATACATACCATGGGCTTCCTGTGGTAGTGAAGCACGTGTACCCATCATGCCTCAGTGTCTCTTTGACAAGAAGGTGAGAAGATGGCAGGTGGAGTGATGCTTCTTGGTGTGGACAGAAACTTCGACCATTACACGGTAAGAAATGCTTCAAAACTAGACTAGACTAAACAAAACGTAAGATAAGATTGAATTCTTCCCCTCTATAAATTCTTTTGAGGCTTTCTAGAACTTTTCGCCGCAAAAATAGGGTTTTTTCTGACTTCTTATTTGTTGCACGTGGCAGACTTAAATTCAAGGCTAAAACTTCGTAAACTTTCTTGTTCTAACCTCAGAAACCACTGCATAGCTACTCTATAAATGCAAAAAGAGTTCAAAGTTACTTTAGACATGATTTTATTTTCTAATTTTTTGATTTTTCAGAAAAAGTTTCGTAACCGTACCGTATTTCCATCAAAACTAAGCTTATGTTTTTGACTTTTCTTCCATTTCTTCAAAATAAAAAATACCGTTAAAAGACAGTTTAAGCATTCAGTACAATTTTACGGATTTGCTTTTATTTCAATGAAAACTACGGTCAACAAGATATTTTATGGCAGAAGGGAGTGGTTGACAAATTCTCCTTGGTAGCAACCCCCTTTATAGGACTGTTCTTTTTTTATCAGGAAGGTAGGCAATGCAATTCCCTTGAAGCGTAATGTAGAAATCTGACTCAATGCTTCATTGTTAATTCTTAAAACTGGCCCAATTTTTTTTTGGGTTGTTCCACAAAATATTCATACCCCTACCACGGGGGCATCTGTTTTCTTCCCTCTTTGCCTTTAGAATTCCGAAATGTTTTGAGGCTCTTGGTTCCCCTTGCATCATTACATAAATTATTATATTAATTGCTTTATAGACAAAGAAATAAGTGCTGTTTTCATGTTAGAAGAACTTAAAAAACCAAAGTCGAAAAGCACATATTACCATACCCAAAAATTTTACAAATTTAAGGAGGCTCTGGGTAGTTTTGGTCTGGCATACCTAGCCACATTAAAACGGCTACAACTTCGTCTTGAATAACTCAATCTGCAAGCGCTTTTCACACAATGTCAGGAAAGGATTAAAGGTTTCAAAAATGCGGCTAGGTGTGCCAGTCTAAATGTGTAAATGTCTTTCTTTGTCTAAAAAAAACTCTCACCGGATTTTCAAAATGCTGCCCATGGTAGGAGTATAGATATTTACTGGAACTACTCATTGTAGATGTGCAGTGGGACTTGAAGTGTTTTGTGTGTACCCTCTTGGGCCTTACTCACACGACAGCCATGTTTATGAGAAAAAAACTTTTGTTTTAACCTGTTTAAATTTATTCTCAAGCACTTGAATTGAAGCTATGTGTGGATGAAAGTAATGTTCAGTAAACATGGTTGCATGGTTGTGAATAGCCAGATTTTTTCAGTAACTCCACCCCCTCAAAAAAACACTGCTCCACCTGCTCCCTGGTAACAAATGAAGGGTCTCTTAGTCTTTACTTAACTAGGAGGACCATCATACTGACGACACTTTTATTGTATTTTTTTAAGAGATCATCAAGGATATGAAGACTAGTTGAATCTATAAGTGTTGGTTATAGATGTTATTTAGAAGAAATTACACTCGTAAGTGAAATAATTTTCTTTGAATTGATTTAGCACCTGTGTAATTTTACTAAATGCTTATTCACCACAGATTGGGTGGATTCTGGTTGTATTTGCCTCAAATATTGGCTGATCTTTACTTTGTCTTTGGTGAATAATCTTTAATTAAATTTATCTACATATAATGCTTTGTTGTATGTAGATTTGTTTTCACCACTTTAAGAATTAGAACTTAATATATCAATGGTTGTGACCTTTTTGTTACAAATGAAAAGCAACCACATCTCTTGAATTTTCTTACAATTATTTACCAAATGCTGGTAACTTGTGCACATTTGTGGTGTGACAATGTTTTCCCAATTCAGTGTGACAAACCTCTGGGGGAATGAAGAGCTATTGTTTTGAAACTCATCGGGATATCATCGTTATTCCTTTTGTATCCTTTGGGATTCTCATGAATTTTTCGAAGAGTAAAAACAAAAGAAAATGAATCCCCTGGAGGTTTGTCACTCTGAATTGGGAAAACATTGTCACACCACGAACAAGGTCTATTGAAAATTTTTTTTACATTTGATTGATTATTGATGTACATGAAAAAGTTTCCTTCAAAATTTTGGGTACTCTGTTCGAACTAAATTTTTTCCCTGAGACAAGTGTTAATAAGGATACATTGATGTTAAGTATTTTTTCATTTGAGTTTGGAGGATTTTCATTACTCAAAGACATTTGCTTTATTTTTTTCCCATCCTTCCTTTGGCTTTTGAATCAAATTGTCAAATTTGGAAAAAGCTTTTTCCTAAACAATTTCATTGTTTGACATGTTTACACTTCGTGCAGTATACTCTTGCTGTACCAAAAATATCATGCAGTTCTAAATGCCTTTAAAAAAATTGAAGACAAAAATAGACATTCTCTTGTTGGCTTTCCATTTGGTTTAATGATTTCCTTAGTTGTTCTGCTACCATAGTGAGAGGATACTGTATACATCATGATGATTGTTATTCTCATTGAAAAACAACAACAAACAAGCAAAAAAGCATTGGCATCAGTATTCCACAGGGCTTGGTGTGTTCATCTTGTAGTCTGATAAAGGTGTTGCTTGAGTAAAAGTACAACAAGAGATAACAAAATGGTATACTAAAACTTAGTTGGTTTCTGCACTGGCTCTGAAAAGAGATTTATTCATTAAAATGAATTCAAATTGAAAATGTTATTTTAAAAATCAAATTGTTTGTTGCCTTGTTTCAGGCACTGGAATGGATTTGTTAACTAAAATGATCAAAAGAATTGCCTTATCTGATTTTGGAATGAATTCACATTACATTTGGACTTCAAATCACAAATACTCAGTTGGAAATGATTCATTGAAATAAATTCTAATTATGAATACCCAGTTGAAAAAAATTCATTGGGCGGAAAAACCTCTTCACACCATCTATAAGATTTATCAAAGTAATTGGGAGTGGTCGGCAAAAAAATACCATTTATTACTCTTGCTGTAATGCAGAATAGATTGTGCCATACTCTCCATACACCATGATTGGCTGCAATCCTGCAAAGTCTATTCTGTTACAAGTACTGGTAAGGCTTGGTGTAGACATGGAACTTTTCATTGATCAAATATCTGTTTTCTTGGGGAAAGGGTATCTTAAATAAGTCATGCAAAATTGGGACTTGCAAGCTACTCTCTAATCAGTTTAAGGCCTAGGGCAAATGTCGAACTTTCCATGCACCAAACTTAATTTCGTCAAAGAATGCCGCCTCATTATCACCTGATATCCATTGTTTTTAATGGGTTCGGTGCATGGAAAGTTTGACGTTTGCCCTAGGCCTAAGGAATTTTTTTGCAATCTGATTAGATAAAGTAAGTGAAAAGTTCCATGTCTTAACTGGGTCGAATTATTGCTGTATACTAGGCATAAAACTGGTGTTGACTATTATTAAACTTCAAAAAAGAAAAAGAAATTCTAATTTCTCCAATGATCTCACTAAAAAATATCACTTCTTTTTGGGAATATGTTTTGTTTTGGTACTACAATTAAATTTTGAATTCGTTTTAGCAAGTACAACACCAGTTTTATGCCTTTTTTAGTATTCAGTAACAGTCTTTTAATCAAGCAACACGTCCTATGTTTTTAGAATCCTAATCAAATGCATTGTCCCTGAGGTCATCAGTTCACTTGTCATCATTCATTTTAATTTTGGTTCATTCACGTTCATGTGGGTTTATTCATCTTCATGTGGGTTCATTCACCTTCATGTGGGTTCATTCACCTTTATCTGGGTTCATTCACCTTCACCTGGGTTCATTCACCTTCATCTGGGTTCATTCACCTTCAACTGGGTTCATTCACCTTGATTTGGGTTCATTCACCTTGATCTGGGTTCTTCACCTTCATGTGGGTTCGTTCACCTTCATCTGGGTTCATTCACTTTCATCTAGGTTCATTCACCTCGATCTGGGTTCATTCACCTTCATCTGGGTTCATTCACTTTCATCTCGGTTCATTCACTTTCATCTGGGTTCATTCACCTTCATCTGGGTTCATTCCCTTTCATGTGGGTTCATTCCCTTTCATCTGGTTTCATTCACCTTCATCTGGGTTCATTCACTTTCATCTGGGTTCATTCACCTTCATCTGGGTTCATTCCCTTTCATCTGGGTTCATTCCCTTTCATCTGGTTTCATTCACCTTCATCTGGGTTCATTCCCTTTCATCTGGTTTCATTCACCTTCATGTGGGTTCATTCACTTTCATCTGGGTTCATTCACCTTCATCTGGGTTCATTCACTTTCATCTGGGTTCATTCACCTTCATCTGGGTTCATTCCCTTTCATCTGGGTTCATTCCCTTTCATCTGGTTTCATTCACCTTCATGTGGGTTCATTCACCTTCATGTGGGTTCATTCACCTCGATCTGGGTTCATTCACCTTTATGTGTGTTAATTCACCTTTATCTGGGTTCATTTACCTTTATCTGGGTTCGTTTACCTTCATCTGGATTCATTCACCTTGATCTATGTTCATTCACCTTCATGTGGGTTCATTCACCTTCACCTGGGTTCATTCACCTCGATCTGGGTTCATTTACCTTCATCTGGGTTCATTTACCCTCATCTGGGTTCATTTACCTTCATTCACCTTCATATGGCTTCATTCACTTTCATCTCGGTTCATTCACGTTCATCTGGGTTCATTCACGTTCATCTGGGTTCATTTACCTTCATCTGGGTTCATTTACCTTCATGTGGGTTCATTCACCTTCATGTGGGTTCATTTACCTTCATCTATGTTCATTCACCTTCATCTGGGTTCATTCACTTTCATCTGGGTTCATTCACGTTCATCTGGGTTCATTCACGTTCATCTGGGTTCATTCACTTTCATCTGGGTTCATTCACTTTCATCTGGGTTCATTCACTTTCATCTGGGTTCATTCACTTTCATCTGGGTTCATTCACGTTCATCTGGGTTTATTCACTTTCATCTCGGTTCATTCACTTTCATCTGGGTTCATTCACCTTCATCTGGGTTCATTCACCTTCATCTGGGTTCATTTACCTTCATCTGGGTTCATTTACCTTCATCTATGTTCATTCACCTTCATCTGGGTTCATTCACCTTCATGTGGGTTCATTCACCTTGATCTGTGTTCATTCACATTGATCTATTTTCATTCACCTTCCTCTGGGTTTATTCCCCTTCATTTTGTTTCATTGCCAGCTTCACCTGGGTTCATTCACCTTCATCTGGGTTCATTCACCTTGATCTGGGTTCATTCACCATCATCTAGGTCCATTAACCTTGATCTATGTTCATTCAACTTCATCTGGGCTCATTTACCTTCATCTATTTTCATTCACCTTCAGCTGGGTTCATTCTTCTTGATCTATGTTCATTCAATTTCATTTTCAATCCATGATAATGTAAATTAATGATATTCTGATTGTGAATATAATATGCAGTGTAGTATGCTGGGACTTCAGAGGRTCATCAGATCCTTACAAATTAAACTTTTGTGTAGGCTCAAACTTTTTTATTTTCATTGACTAAAGCTTCTTCGTTGACTTATTAGAAAACAGAGATTTTTATAGATCTATATAGTGCAATAACTATTTATTTTCTTATTTTTCTAGCAAAGCAAGTCATATTCTGACGTTAGCAAGACATATACATTCTCCTACCAGGCCAGTGTTATGCCTCAAGAGGAAAGCAACAATGATTACAGCAGTTATGCCTACTATGGATCTATTTCACTATCAAAGGACTCAGGTGTCAACATTTTAGAATTTTATAATTTACACCATTTTAGTCTAAACCTACTATTATTGGTCATTAACAAATTCTGTATTCTGATTGGCTAAGCTACTAGTGGTCTTTAAGGTTACATGGGACACAATTAGGTCATTTTCTGAAAGCTTAATAACTGAAATTTTCAAGTTTATCTCCGCAATTTTTCGTATATTTCATAGATATAAGGTATCTCAGAAAATTGAGGTGACTTTCAAAGTGTAACTTATTCTCCCACTGCTTTGTGTAAATGGATTATATTGTCGTTGTATCTTAAACTAAACGCGTTGATCTAAAAAAGCTTGTYTCTAATTTTCTTTTTGGCACTTATTATTTTGCACTTGTTATTTTGAAAGGTTTTTACTTGGATTCTCATGGAAAAGAATTTTGTTGTGAAAAAAGACCTTAAGGTTGCATTCATAATGTATGGCAGGGGGGGGCAGGTGGAATTGAGGGGGGATCGGGAAAATTTTGGTAGGAAAAAGGGGGGTGGGCAAATTTTTATCAGAAAAATGGGGGATTGCACAATTTTTGGAAGAAGCCACGAGCCTTGCTTAAGGAGGATCATATTTTTTTGCATGACTTTAAGGTGGGGGGGGGGGGATGTTAAGAATTATTCTCGGCATTTCAAATTTTCACCTGCCTCTCTGCCACACATTATGAACGCAGCCTAAATGAATAACTGAGACATTTTTTAGTTTAATAGCGTATGAAGCGACTGACCAAATTTAGCTGAAATGAGTTGAATACCTTAGGAGAATAAGTGTGCAAAAGTTTGTGGTTTTCTGAAAAACACAAAGTATAGTTAAGAGTTGATAAATCAATATTTCCTTTTTGGACTATCAGCAACACACAGCAAGCTATTTGATCATGAAGTTTGCGGCAAGCAATGAATCGAATGCATCTCAGTTTGTATATACATATCATGTATTCAGAGCATGTTGTGATTACAGTTCCCATCATCTCAGCAACACCTTTGTTCATTTAAAAATAAGTTGTGCTTTTTGACTGAAACTAAAAAAAATCTTAAAATAWTTTTTTTGAAAAGGGAAAGATCTTCCTTTCGGCAATAGTTTTATTTAGATATTTTTCAAAAAATTTAACATCTGGAGTAATTATGTGTTCCATGTATCGTTATGTAATAGTCCACTAGTAGTGAAAAGAACTGGTTTTGAAAACCAAAAACAGTGACGACTAATTCACTTTATCAACCTAATTTCAAATTTGTTTTTTATCATGTAACTGGGTATTTGACCAAAATAGGTTTAGGCTAAAACAGTAGCGCTTTTTCCACGGTTGCAACACAGTTTTCTAGTCTTGTCGTTTTGAATTCTTGAAACAACTGTGGTCTTACCACTTATAATAATCTTTTTATCTCAAGATTTTGTTTACATATTTTGTCCACAAATTGATCCTACCTACTTTGCGATATTTATCTTGAGCAACCGTGGAAAACGCTATCAACCATTCTTAGGTTGAGGAGATAAAAGGGTGGACTTGGCATTGCAGTGCATTTTAGGACTGTTGCAATGTTAACTCAACCCTGTTTTCTCCTTAACTTAAGAATGGCCAATAGGACACTTGTATGATGGCGTCATTTACTACCACTACCAGAATCCCTTGCATACTTTATCTTGTCAGTTAATTAGCAGCAATTGTCTTACTGTTCTCATGAGGAAATGCATTTTTGATAGTGGTAGTAAAATGACGCCATCATGCAAGTGTCCTATTGGACCCTTTTAACATCATGGTGTACAGGGGAATGTTCTGTTCCCTTTGTCCTGTTAGGTRTCCTGTGGGGTACCTCGTTAGAGTCCCGCAGGGCACCTAACAGGATGTAGAATAGGGGGAACAGACCATTTACTTGTACACCATGATGGTGAAGGGGTCTAATTGATCATTTTTTAGAATGATCAATTAGACCCCTTTGCCATCATGGTGTACAGGTAAATGTTCTGCTCCCCCCTATTCTGTGTCCTGTGGGGTGTAAACATCTCACCCCACAGGACACAGAATAGGGGGGAACAGAACATTTACCTGTACACCATGATGGCAGACGGGTCTAGGGGTCTAATTGATCATTCTTGAATGCAACAACAGTAAAAACAAAAAGAATAAAGTCTGTTTATTTGAACCATCTGTAGCTATATTAATAATTGATAGTATAAAGTATAGTCCCTAATAGTATGAAGTATGTGTACTAATAGTATTAATAATAGTACTTAATAGTATGAAATAAAGTACCTAATAGTATGAAGTGTTTAATGCTAATCTTCTACCTATCCCATAATCCCTGTCTGACTATTCTCCTATTGCTTGTCTTCCTAACATTCCCTGCTGCCTGTCTTCCTAACGTCCCCTGCTGCCTGTCTGCCTAATGTCTCCTGCTGCCTGTCTGCCTGATGCCCCCCACTGCCTGTCTGCCTSTTGTTAGGCAGACAGGAAGTGGGGGGCATCAGGTTTAAGGTAGTGGGGGGTGTCAGGCATAGACACCCCCACTAACTTAAACCTGTCTGCCTGACGCCCCCCACTGCCTATCTGCCTGTTGTTAGGCAGACAGGAAGTGGGGGGCCTCAGGTTTAAGGTAGTGGGGGGTGTCAGGCATAAGACACCCCCCACTAACTTAAACCTGTCTGTCTGACATCCCCCGCCACCTGCCTGCCTAATGTCAGGCAGACAGTTAGCRGGGGGTGTAAGACAGACAGGCAGACATCTACCTGTCAACCTGATGCCCCCAACTACCTTAAACACTAATAACTACCTGCCAGCCCSTACTACTTGACTCAGATGCTGTGTTAATTCTTTGTTTGTCATCGCTGATGTTGGCTTCACATGCACTTCAACTGTCAATTAAAGATCAATCTTGCATTTAATGTCGTCCATACTAGCACCATTATCATCTATTGCATGAAGTGTCACCTCGAGTAAGAAAAGAAAAATATTTAATCATTATAACAAGTATTCAGAATAAAGGCTGTTGTTCCATTTCACCACTGTTTTCATTGCTATTGATCGCCAAGAGAGTTGAAATAAAAAATCATGGCGGCCATCTTTGTGTAGTTGATTGAGACAACAGTTGTGACAGGAAATTTGGGYAATAGACTGCCATCAATAAAATAAATCGTTAAGTTACCTTTAWATACTCTGATTATTGCAACTGTTGTCTCGATCAGCACTTAGCAATGAAAACAGTGGTAWAGTGAAGTCATTAAACCCGTTAAATAGATATTAGACTAATAAACATTAGTACACCTTAATTCCATTGTTTTCTTTTGTGTCTATTTGACTAGAGTGAAGTCACTAAACCCATGAAATAGATATTAGACTAACACAAATTAGTAGATCTCATTTCCATTGTTTTTCTTTTGTGTCTATTTGACTTTTACACATTGACTAATAATTTTTATTTCACGGGTTAAATGCCTTCACTCTAAGAAGTCACTCTAAGAAGTCACTCTAAGAAGTCACTCTAAGAAGTCACTCAAAAAATATGAATGTAAACGTTACTTACTTTTATTATCAAAAACTTCCTGCCCATAGTCAGCTGAATAGGATGACACTTGAAATCTGTAAAAAGAATAGAATGTACAGAATTGTATTACAGTCCAACTCACTTGTGCTACATTCTATCAAGGTTCAAAGTTTCAGTAAGTTTATTGTTGAGGTTTGTTTTCCATCTTCCTTTGAGAATTGCATTAATGTTTGAGGTACATACTGCAAGCAGTTGAAATTTACAATGATTATTTCATTGATCAATGCGAGCTTTAAAGGAAGATGGAAACCAAATGTTGAATAATAAACTGAATCTTTGAACACATAATTTTTGTAATTTTATGAAGTATACAATGGAAATATGGTGACCAATTTGAATAATTGTTGTGGACTGAGACTAGTCTCTCTTACATGTGAAATGCTTTTGTGTTTCCCAGGAAATAGTAATTGAAATTGGTCACCAAACTGTATTTCGATTTGGTGTATAATTAGAATAGTAGAAAAAGATATGCACTGTATATAGTAAAGCTAGTGTGCTCACACTAAATCCGTGAAACAAATACTATTTTTTAGCACTAAATAGTGATAATTAAACAATAGAAAACAAAGGATTCTGTGTGAAATAGTACTAATTAGTACTATTTAATGTTCACGGTTTTAGTGTGTGCACTCTACTATAGTGAAAGAGGAAATCAGTAACATTACCTGTTGCACCTTAATTCCTAGTACATCCTGACTGATATCCATCTATGTCACACTCACATCTGTAGATATGATGATACGGCCGTACAGTTCTACAGATACAACAAAACAGACTGTCAAACCTTATTCTTCACATGCCTCAGTTTTCATTGTTTTTCAGGGACCTATGCCACCTAAGCCCTGGACCAACTGCCCTAATTCACTATGACGTCACATCAAAACTATTGTTTAAACGTAAAGGATCATGGTCATCGGACGGGGTCAAATCAACATAAATTCACTGAAAATTGTTCTAAAACCAGTATCAATCCATGAAGAGAAGTAGAATAGCCAGCAAACACTCCGAATATTTTTTAGTACATATTAACACATATCATATCTGAAAACTAGGCCAATTTAGATTAAACTGTTTCGCTGGAGCAAATGCTTTCTATTGGATTTGGTAATTCTTTCCCCCACATAAACAAGCAGTGACATCATAGTGAATTAGGGCAATTCCCAAGTGTCTCAAAGCCAGGGACAGCTTTGCAATCTTACAGGAAAGATTTTGGGCAAAAGAGCTAATTTATAGATAGTGACCACAGTAAATCCGTGAAACACATATTACTAGATAGTACAAAATAGTGCTAGTTAAACAATAGAAAACAATGGAATTTGCATGAAATTGTGCTATTTAGTAATACTAAAGTTTCACGGATTTACTGTGGTCACTATCTATACAGGGGAAAATATATTAGTATGCAAGGGGATTATAATATATTAAGTCAATGAAATAAAGGGTTGCAGGGGCAATTTGATACATATTATATTCCCCCTGCAAACCTTTATCAAATTTCATCAACTCTAGTTGTACATAAACTAGTTATGAGCATGTATACAGCAAGAGTGAGTGGAATGATTATCGAATTATTATATAATCAGCCACATCAAATTCTAAATGGACCAAAATGAAGGCCATAAAGGCTAAGAAACCCAATGAAGGCAAAATGTACCTAAATGAACTAGGTGAATGTACCCAGATGAAGGTGAACATTAAAACCCAGATAAGGGCTTATGAGCCCAGATGAAGGTGAATGAACCTAGATAAAGGCTAATGAACCAAGATGATTGTGAAGGTGAAGGCTAATGAACCAAGATGGAGGTTATAATCCGGGGCAAGGGGGGGGTACTCCCATATATGGACTATACAGAGATGATCCGCTGAACAGGGTATGGTTTTTCAAGCTTCTTATCATAAACAGGGTATGCAATTTCACTCAAGTTCCAAGTTCTTCCTGAGTTTCCTGTCATATTCAGGGTTTCTACTTTCGTATTGACCGAAACTGGTTATGGTCGTAAAAAAACGATACGCGAGATGACATGATAATTGAAACAAACTCAGTGCAATAAATTATATCTTTTATCATAAACAGGGTCCACAAATTTGAGTTTTTTAAATCATAAATAGGGTACCCCTTTCAGAATCCCAGCGGAACACCCCTACCCAAATTTTGGCGGAGTACCCCCCCCCCGGGTTATAATGGACCCAGATGAAGGCCAATAGAGGCTAAGAAACCCAAATGAAGTCTTGTGAACCAAGATGAAGGCTAACATTAACAGGGACTGCGGATCCAGGGGGCTGCAACCCCCCTCCACACTTTTTGTGCCAAAAATACAAATCGAAATAAAAAGACGTTTCTACCCAAAATTTGATTGAGCTATATATACATATTATGCTTAATTTTCAAATGCCCCCCACCCCCACTTTTCAATATGCTCAGTGCTCCCTGATTAATGAACCCAGGATGCAGGTCAATGTACCCAGATGAATGTGAATTAAGTAATGAACCCAGATGAATTTGAATTAAGAAATGGAACCAGTAGAATTAAGGTAAATGAAGTAATGGATCCAGATGAAGGAGAAGGTATGCTAATGAACCGAGATAAAGGTGAATGAAGGCCAATGAACCCAGATGGGGTTGAATGATTGCTAATGAACCCAGATTAAGATGATCGTAGGCTAATGAACCAAGATGAAGGCTAACAAGCCCAGATGAATGTAAATACAGTCTAATGATCCCAAATGAAGGTGAATGTCAGCTAATGAACCCAGATGAAAGGCGAATGAACCCAGATGAAGGCTAATGAATTCAGATGAATGTGAGCGTAGGCGAATCCCGGGGGGGTACTCCCATATATGGACTATACGG